AAGAATCATTTAAATTCTTAGATAGCCGACTAAAGTGAATTTTAAATTAAGAATAATATCTTCACTTGCATCATTACAAAGATAATATATATATATATATATCTTCACTTGCATCATTATAAAAATATATATTATCTTTATAATGATGCAAGTGAAGATATTATTCTTAATTCGGAAAAGGCCTAAAAATGCCACTCAACCTTTAGAAATGGTCTATCCATGCCATCCGTTAAAAAATGCTCATTTCATGCCATCCATGTCGTTAAAAAGGGTCAATCCGTTGCTTGTCTATTACCCTTTGTTATAGTTTTTGAGCTATGGGTTCATATATACTATTTTTATAATTTTAAGAATTTTTTACATATAAATTTTTGCTCAGTGTGAAAAGTTATGGGTTCAATTGAAACTGTTGTCAACACTCTACAGATGCCTCTGCCTATATATATGTACAGTTTTTTTCTTTGAATCATTAAATGTTAAATTAGTTGACTGTTATTATATAACATTTCATATATTGTCTTGAAATTAGCAAGTAGTTTTTTCTCGACACCATACTTGGCTTAACCTCAATGCAAACTACTCAAATTGCATTTATATTCAAATTCAGATATCATATCAGTTTGTTAGTAATAGTGATTTTTTTTAAAATGACACATAATGTAAATTAAAAAAATATTCTAAGATATTCTTGTCTTATAATCTATGTATTTGAGTTGAAAACAATATTTAAAATCGATGATATCAACTTCCAAAATTTTTATACTTAACATAGATGAAGTAGAAGAAGAAATTCGATGTCATCTCCTACTTCTGGTTTTTAGATTTTTCATACATTTTTCTATATTTATTTTCTTTTATCTTATTTATAATGTCTTTTTTTTTACAAAAAATTAATTTATTTCTCTATAAAAGGATGAGTTTAAATAGAAATTGTCTAGATAAGAACTTTATTTATATTTTTAGTCTTTAGTTGAAATTCTTCCATATTTTCTTTTGGCTTTATCTAATCAACCTAAATAAGTGCTCGCCTTACCACTTAAATTAAAAAATTGAAGATTGTGTAATTTAGATATAATCCATATAAAATATATGTATAATCGTGTGTTGCCAGTATATCATTTATGGATATTAGCCATAAAAAGTAAACAATAAATCTGGCTAGATATTTATGTAAATATTCCATAAGATTTTGATTTCTTGATTTTATCCATGATATGACTTCTATTATAATAATTTTAAAAATTCTATAAAATTCAAAAATATCTTATCCATTTTTTTTAAAATTACATTATATTAAAAAATAATCCCATTTTGAAATAATTTGTTTACATTTTAAAAAAAAATATTTCATGTCATACCAGTTTTTTTAATATACTTTTTGTTACACTTGAAAATTGCTATAGAAACTATCAATTAGAAACCAATGGCCCTCTTGTTGACTTCGAGAAAAATAATTTTTCACATAATCTAGTGATTCAAAACTGATATTCTTCAACAAAACAATATTAAACACGTGCAATACTGGCTTGACTGCAGCTAAATGAAGAGGTTTCATCTTATACCCATCAATTCCTAGTAGGTGCTAAATAAAAATTAATGATAGCAAATGTATAGGCAAAATTTTGTTATTTGTTTGATGTCCATTTATACCAATTGATTCTTCCAACAAATGTTTTTCAAAAAGGAAAAAAAATAATTTTTTGAATATTGACTGACTTTTGTGATGTTTCTTTCTCCAACATGTAGATTTACTTCATTATATATGTAAATAAACTTTTATTCGATTTTTAAACTCTTTTTTATTATCTGGATAACCATAGACGTGTACCCTATATGTTACATTTATTTTAAAATAAATTCGATTTATTCAAATCTTACTATATTGTATTAAAGAACTTAATTATAGGGTTTTAAATGTGAAATAGCTTTATAGTTGTATGGAATAGTTTTTTTTACCACAGGCGCAGTAGTATTTAAATAATCAGAAAGATAATAAAAGTTCCTAGCATGATTGCATATGACCATTAACCAAATTAAGTATGATAATTTGACCCCAAAAAAAGATAAATTTCTTTTTTATTTTAACTCAAATTTAAAAACTTTATTTATAAATTCAAAATTATTCTTTAATTCAAATTCAGTTATATATATATATATATATAAGAGAGAGAGTCAAATATAGAATAAAGTTACCATATACTATTTGCATTTATTAGCTTGTCACTTGGCTTAACCACAATGCAATTATATATGGTAACTTTCTTGCTTTAATATATATATATATATATATTTATCTTTTACCCTACTTTTTTATATAGCAATAATTTTACTTCGTATCCTGTTCTTTGTTAGTAATTTTGCAAGTTTATTCTTCATATTATTGGTGTGTGACGTCATGAAACGACGACAAATGATACAATCTATTAAAACGTTGTATTCTTCAAACAATACAAAACAATACAGTACAATACAATACTATACATTATGAAATAACTTGTAACAACAATCCAACAAGCTGTAAAAGTACAATGAATTATATATAGAGCTTATAGAATTTGGAAAATGGAAACTTAATTAAGAACCTTGAAATAGTCAAGACATCCTACTAATTAAGGTAGTAAATCAACAACAACAACGATCTAGTAAAATCCCATAACGTAGGGTCTGGGGAGGGTAATGTGTATGTAGACCTTATCCCTATTCTGATGGAGCGGAGAGGTTGTTTCCGATAGACCCTCGGCTCAGGATAATTAAGGTAGTTAATCAACAGTGGAAATTGGGCAGCTCATTTGCCGAATCTCCACAACACATAGGTACAGTAATTAACTAATTATAACACAGAACTAGTAAAGAAACAAAGTCAATATACGTATATCATTTAATTTTGATTCAATTCCGACATAAATTTTTCATCAGAATTAGACTTAAAATTTGATTAGAACTCTATAAGAGAGAATTAGTTCTGGTTAAACGCGCTCATTGAATAAGTAGTGAAATTAATTTGATTAGGCCGATACATTATCTTTTAGTTGACCCGATAGTGCAAACAATAATTTACACCGTCCCTGTATAGAAGTTTTAACTCTATATAAAGGAAAGATACTGCATATTTATTTATGCACTCAAAACAAGCCATAACAATTGTTTTCAGGGAAGTAGCACTTTGACTCTACGTTATAAATCTCAACTACTATCCAAAATTAAATGTCCCAACCCTGACCTTTCATTCTGATATATCGACGTTAGAAAGCTCAAGACTGATGCATAGGTTCATGTTGCAAAAAGTGTTCATGAAATTCTTAAATGCATTGCTCGCCTAATCAGTTTCAAAGTTAGGAATTTATATAAGGTGATTCAAAAATGTTATACCTGAAATTTAGACATGTAATCTAAAGAAATTTTTGAACTCCTCATTTGCCACTTAGTTAGAATATCAAGGTAATATGTAATGTATGTTTTTAATTTTTATATTACTAGAGTAGGTTTATGAAAAATAAATACGAAACTCTGCAGTGGACGCTCTTCTCTTCAACAAGAGTTCGGATCGAACAGAAGAGCAGGAGATATACTTATAGACCAAGAAAAAAATAGCCCGATTAGAACAAACTGTAGTAGTAATAAAGAAGAATATAATATCAACCAATTAAAATAAAATTCTCAAGAGAATTACACCGAAAGGGGCTTAATTGATACAATAAGACAAACTACTGTTTGAGATCTCGAGGATCTTGAATATCAAATAATGCAAATTATAAATTAGAATGAGCACACAGCAACAAAAGCCGACCCTTTGGGGAAGCACACATAAGATTTTGGGAGAGAAAACAGAAATCCTTCAAATAAGAGGATGAAAAGGATCTAAAAATCAAGGAAATGGTGAAAATTGATAGAAGTGAATGGTTTGATCATTACTAGTAGTAGGTTGCTGGAGGAGGTGAAGCATGGGTGGCAGATTGCTCGTATTTTGCAGGTGGTGGAGGTGAGGCATAGGCGGGAGTTTGCTTATAGTAATTCGTTGGTGGTGGAGGTGAGTAGTATGATGGCAATTTTTCATTGATCTTTGGCAGAGATGGTAAGTCGTAAGTTATAGGTGATTGCTCGTAGTATTTTGGTGGAGGTGGAGGAGATTTGTAGGAAGGTGTAGATTCTTTGTAGTACGGTGGAGGGGGAGACTTATAATTGATTGGTGATTGCTCATAGTATTTTGGTGGTGGTGGTGGAGAGTTGTATGACAATGGTTGCCCATAGTATTTTGGTGGAGGTGGAGGAGATTTGTAGGAAGGTGTAGATTCTTTGTAGTACGGTGGAGGGGGAGACTTATAATTGATTGGTGATTGCTCATAGTATTTTGGTGGTGGTGGTGGAGAGTTGTATGACAATGGTTGCCCATAGTATTTTGGTGGAGGTGGAGGAGATTTGTAAGAAGATTGTGATTGCTCGTAGTATTTTGGTGGGGGTGGAGGTGACTTAGGTGATTGCTCATAGTATGTTGGAGGAGGTGGAGGTGACTTGTAATACGAAGGTGATTTCTCATAATAAGTTGGTGGTGGTAGAGATTTATAATAAACTGGGGACTTGTAATATTTTGGTGGTGGCGGAGACTTATAATATTTAGAGGGAGCAGGCGATTTGTAGTACTTTGCTGGTGATGGCGACTTGTAGTATTTTACGGGAGCTGGCGACTTGTAGTAGTTCTTTGAAGGAGCTGACGACTTGTAGTATTTTACGGGAGCTGGCGACTTGTAGTAGTTCTTTGAAGGAGCTGACGACTTGTAGTATTTTGCGGGAGTTGGCGACTTGTGGTATTTTGCGGGAGCTGGTGCTTTGTAGTATTTTGCAGGAGCTGGCGCTTTGTAGTATTTTGCATGTGATGGCGACTTGTAGTATTTTGCGGGAGCTGGTGCTTTGTAGTATTTTGCAGGAGCTGGCGCTTTGTAGTATTTTGCATGTGATGGCGACTTGTAGTAGTTCTTTGAAGTTGCTGGCGACTTGTAGTATTTTACGGGAGTTGGCGACTTGTAGTAGTTCTTTGAATGAGCTGGTGACTTGTAGTATTTTGCGGGAGCTGGCGCCTTGTAGTATTTTGCGAGAGTTGGCGCCTTGTAGTATTTTGCGGGAGCTGGCGATTTGTAGTATTTTGTGGGAGCTGGCGACTTGTAATATTTTACGGGAGCTGGAGATTTGTAGTATTTTGCGGGAGATGGTGACTTGTAATAGTGCTTTGCAATAGCAGGTGACTTATAGTAAGGAGTAGGTACTGAGTACTTGGGTGGAGATGGTGATTTGTAATACTTCTTAGAGGTGTAAGAAGGTGAGGGAGAAGCATACCCATAAGAGTAATCAGCAACAACAGTGCTGGCTATAAAGCAAATTACCAAAGCAGTTACAAGTAAAGGCAATTGCCCCAACTTCCCTAAGCTTGTCATTTTGCTTATGCAGCCAACAATACTTAGAAAAAGAATGAAAAGAAGTAAAAACTTGTCTTGAATAGTGAGTAGGGAGCTTTGGCTTTTATATAGGAACAATATTATCATTTTAGGTTTGTGTTATTGGCACCCACTAACATTATAGCTAAGTCAAAATATATATGGGCTCGAACTTTTCTATAATTGCTTCATGGTTAGCCACTAAGATGATATAGCATAGTCCAAATAAATAATAGGCAATTACTAAGTGGTTAGCTTTTTTCTGGTGGCAGAAAAAATAATTTACAGATAATAAATATTAAAAGCGGAGAAAAAAAATAAGGATGCCACGACTTGCATCTCATTAGCGAATAATTAAGTTGACTTGTACGAATAATTACGGTATATTGAATTTGAAGTTCGGGATATTCCATGGATTATCTATCCCGCCTCTGATAGATTATTATTATACTGAAACTCCATTATATTATATTGTAACTCCAGCATAATATATTGGAACTCCGATATAATTTTTCCAAATTTTGAACTGTGTTTTCGTTCAAATTTATCTTTACATGAAAAGTGGCTAAATTTCGATTACTTTTGAAACTATGACTATTTTTGAATTTCTCCCTAGATAATACCACCATTTTGGTATTAACTCTATATCCATGGATTATCTATCCTGCCTCTGGTAGATAATACCACCATTTTGGTATTAGTTGTCACACCCCAATTGAGGCGATTTTCACATACTTGGATTGAATAAGTGTTTTTGAATCGGATTGATTATTATTCATCATTCTATCTTTGTTTTTGGCATTTGATTGGTAGATCTAAGAGAGAAATATTCGGGGTTTTGGCAAAACTTTTCTAAAGTAAAAAATGGAGACTTGAACCCCGATTTAGAGTCGGTTTTGGATGAAACTTGTATATTTGGACTCGTATTCGAATGGGTTTTGGATGAAACTTTTCTACCCGCATATAGTGATATTGCCAAATGTATCAAGACAAGAACTAAAATTCAGAGCTCAGGAAAAGGGAAAAGAGAAAATAAAAAGGAATGCTAGGAAGGATTAAGCAGAAAATGTTTATTACCGGCAAAAGAATTATATCTAGCAATACCGCTGCAGTTAAAAACTATAATAAGGTCTGTAGCTGCTTTTCGATGCCAGAATTTTCACAACAGATTGTCTCTAGTAATGACTGCCACACCTGGATATTTGGAGTCGAGGCTAGAGAGATCATGTCCTCCAAACACATTATTGCAGTGTGTAAATCACCTACTTGGCAAAGACCTTTGATAAGAGAATTCAAAGTCTCAACTCTAGNAAGACCTTGGATAAGAGAATTCAAAGTCTCAACTCTAAGCCAAAAGGAATTGCTTGACATTTGCTCCAATATCTTACTTGCTTCAACATATTTACCATCTTTACAAAACCCATCTACCAAAGTTTCATAAGTCTCATAGTTTGGCGCGCATCCTACTTGCCTAGACATCCTTTCCAAATACTTAACAGCTGAAGTAGATTTTCTTTCATGGCATAGGCCTTTTATAACACCATTATACAACTTAATATTTGGAACACAGTTTTTCTGCATCATCTCAGAATCAATGACCGCAACTGCCTCATCAACCTGGCCATCACGACACAATGCAGATACCTTAGCTTCATAAATCCACACCGATGGTTTGAAGCCTCTGTGATGCATTTCCTTCAGAACCTTGTTACCTTCATCAATCTTTCCTTCAGCGTAAAAGTCAACGGCCATTGCACTGTAGCTATCTGAACTGGGAACTATGCCTCTTATCAGAGCTTCATTAATCAACACTTTCATATCTTCTGTATCTGCACCATTTTGGCATCGAAAATGATCAATCTGCTTATAGCATCTTTTCGGAGCTTTAAGTCCTTTCCGCAGTACCTTGCCGAGAATACTAATGGCTTCCTCCCCTTCTTCATTGTCGCATAACGCTTCCAATAGAGTCCGATATACAACAACATCTTCACCACTACCCTTCTGAGATATCCTCCAGAACATTGAGTACAACAGATGAGTAGCCTCATTGAGCCGCTTTTCTTCACACAGACCCCTCATCAAGATCCTATAACTCTCTTTGTTTGGATAGCAGTTCTGGTAACTCATCTCTTGGAAAATATGCAATGCAAGGTCTGACCGTTTCATTCTACAAAGAACATTCATCAACAAATTTAAGAAATAGGCCCGAGACTTCACTTCCCATCTACAAGAGTTCTCAAGGAATAACTGACAAACTGATTCTAGCTTAGATTCTTCTACCAATATCTCCAAAAGCGTATTCAAAGATCTTGTCCAATCTATACAATTGAACTCCGGAAGAGACTTAAAAAGAGACATGGCTTCATTTGTTAATCCAGCTTGTGCGTAACTACTAATGGCACTGACAAATATTGAGTCATGACACTCACATGAGTCATCTTTCATCTGATTAATTACTCTCTTCATTTCAGCTGTTCTACCTGATCTGCCTAAAATATTAATCATAGTGCCATAGGCAGGACCATTATGATGGTAAGTTGGATACTTGAATTTTGCTTCGTCAAAGAGTTGAAGCGCTTTTAGTGGGTTCTTCTGGCTCTGTATTATCTGTGAGAGCTGCTTCGGCGTTAAAACCCTTGGCCATCTTATGCCCATTAGCAGCAGCAAACTTGATGGATTCTGAAACAATAAAGAAGAGAAATTATTATAAAAGGATGACGATTTCATAAGAAAGTCGAGACAGGGCATAACACTTACAAACCTCAAGTTGACATCCAAATTCAGCTCGGTTTCACAATTGAAACATAACAACATACAAGATAATATCAATTTAAGTCCATGGCAGTACGCGACATATACTTATCATCCTTATTATTTTCCAACTAAAGTAGACTTAGGCAGTTCTAATTGGCATATAACATCTTCTTTTAATAGTAAAATTGAGAGTGATATTGAGAAAGCACGGCAGCAGGACTCAAGCAAACAAATAATACAACCAACAATCGTGCCAATCTATCAACTAACATTCCGGTGTGCTAACTTGCACTGCCAACGACACTATGACAGGAGTACGCACGCCCACCCATCACTAAGTTCATGCTCTACCCAATGGTGGAGCCAGAAATTTAACTAAGGGGAGTCAAAATATAAATAAGTAAGCACACAAAGAAATCAAGGGGAGTCAATGTATATTCTATATACATAAAATTAAGCATTTAACGTGTTTACACCATGTAATTTTCCGACTAAGGGTGTCAATTGACTCCCTTGCCAATGAGTGGCTCCACCACTGGCTCTACCCTAGTCAAGTAGGCCGTGGTTACTCAGAACTTCACCAGCGGGCTCACTTTGTCCCCTGCGACAATTCATCAAACATGTTGTGTGTAGTTTAGTGAGTGAGTTTCGCGCATGCGAAAGAACCCCGACACCCTCCCAAATCCACATGGGAATTCAAGTTTATAGGAAAAGAGCACATCCAACACCACAATTCAGTCACCGCATCACACTGAAATCACCAGCAGACATAAAACTCACACCCCTACAGAACTAGGGGACTAGGGGGAGAATTGCGGAGAGGAAGAGAGAAGACAGACTAGGAGAAGAGAAGAAGATTGTTACCTGGTCGCGGGTGGCCCAAGTCGAGCGTGGTGGCCGGAGA